AGACACAAGACAACATTCCTAAGATATACTTGGATTTTACTTCTGTGGTGAATATACACGAAATAGCATTCTTAAGATATACTTAGATTTTATTCCTGTGGTGGATATATATATACCACAAGGGCTCAGGTAGGTATTCTTTATTTAAAGTCGGGTTGCATATATACATAATAACAAGGAACATGAGCTCTTAAGAGAACATGAGCTCAGGTTGGATATACACGAGAAAACGTTCCTAAAATTACTGGGACTTTGCTGCTGTGGTTTATTAACACGAGACAACATTCCCAAGATATACTGACTCGGAGCTCACAACAAAATTATACTGGAATAAATGGTCTCACTGGAAGGACATGTACATCACATTAAACAATATTAAGTCATAAAGCAATATTTATCCGTATCTGAAAAAGTAAATAGTAACTGAAAGAAAGACAGCATGGTGATGTCCATCGATTTGTTTTCTTTACATTGAAACAAAATAGTTGCCACTTATGGAGGACCTTCTTACCCTTCTGGAGCACCTCCGTTAAGAGTTCACCCGTGTTTTAGGTAGGGTTCCTGTTGATCAATCTTTTAAGTTTTCTTTTCTATTGTTTTTTTGCTATTTTTCTTTTGGCCATGGTTTTGTTTTTTCTTCTTCGACATATAGTATTTTATTGCTCCTCTGCCTTTTTAGAATGAAAAAAAATATGGAACAGATATATCAAAATACAACATGAGTGTTCAGATCAACTCTGCTAAATGTGAATCAGTTAAACAAGATTGAGTATCACTTGTGTCTTCACTTATGGAAATAAAACTACCATTTATATTTTAACACAAAAACAAGTCACATGTTGCGTACTGAGATTGGTATCAGATGTTTATTTTTTTAATTGAGTTAACTACTTAATAGCAGGGTATAAAACCATGGTATACTGTAAATTCAGAAATTATTGCGTGCATTTATTATTGCGATTTTTGAAGAATGGACACTAATGCGAGATTAATTATTGCCATTTCAGAAAAATCTGCATACACATATATGGTATGCATCAGATATCAAAATGCGAGTTCTTATAATTGCAATACTCACCCAGTCACATTATTAACATTTATAACAAGAGTGCACACGCTGAAATGTCTCGCCTACTATACTGACCATTGATTTCCTACATATAAAGTTTTGCTCCAAGTATCACATTAACATTTATGATCTAAGAAAATGAGGTCAGGGTCATATAAACCAAGGCGGAAATACATGTACACCTTTAATACAATCATTCCATACACAGAATATAGATGACCTATTGCTTATAGTATAAAAGAAACAGACCAAACCATGGAAATTCTATATTGACCTATGAACCATGAAAATGAACCCTGCCAGACAGACATGCACACCTTAAAATCATTCCATGCATCAAATATAGTTGACCTATTGCTTATAGTTTCTAAGAAACAAAGTTAACCAGGAAAACTGAACATAAACAGTGAACCATGAAAATGAGGTCAAGGTCAAATAAAACCTGCCAGACTGGCAAGTACATCGTAATTTTCATACACCAAATAAAGTTGACCTACTGCATACAGTAATAGAAAAACAGACCAAAACACAAAAACTTAACATTGAGCAATGAACCGTGAAAATCAGGTCAAGATCAAATAAAACCTGCCAGACTGACATGTTCATCGTAAAATATTTCCATACACCAAATATAGTTGATCTACTGCATACAGTATCAGAAAAACAGACTTAAACACAAAAACTAAACCAATACCACTGAACCATGAAAATGAGGTCAAGGTCAGATGACACCTGTCAGTTGGACATGTACACCTTACAATCATTACATATACCAAATATAATAAACCTATTGCTTATAGTATCTGAGATATGGACTTGGCCAGGAAAACTGAACCTTGTTCTCTGATCCATGAAATGAGGTCGAGGTCAAGTGAAAACTGTCTGACAAACATGAGGACCTTGCAAGGTACGCACATACCAAATATAATTATCCTATTACTCATGATAAGAGTGAAATTAACATTACAAAAAATGGAGAATGTGTCCCCATGGACACAGATGATGCCCCTGCATGCATACATTATAAAGAGACATAACTCAAGAACACCAAGAGGCTGACAGTTGAGTAAGTATGGACACTACATTTAAGCTTAAAACTGCTCTGAATTTGGATTGTGGTTGAATATTTGACACAGCATAGATTTGTGACACAAAATGAATGTGGTAAATAAACTGTTAACACAGAGATGTCTCGCCAATTTGTTATTTTGATAATGCAAATGTTGAAATTAAAATAGCAATACTTTAACATGTAAGTTATGCAAATATTCAAAGTCAATGAACCATGACTGAAGGTTCAGGGCTAAACAATCTCCATGGAAATGAGATGTGCCAATGCTAATACAACTGCAAACCAAATACCATTGACTTTTCATAAGTCGTTCCCTTTAAACAAACCTTAACACAAACATTAACTTGTAAACTATGTAAAAGTTTCAAAGTCAATAAACCATAATTAGGGGGTGGGGTTATATAATCTCCATGGAAATGAAACTTGCAAATGCCAATACATTTGCATACCGAATATCATTGACTTAACATTAGTGGTTCATCTTGAACTGACCTAATCACAAACCAATACAGGTAAACTAAGCATAAGTTTCAAAGTCAATAGACCATGACTGAGGGGTAAGGACCAAATATTCTCCATGGAAATGAGATGTGCTAATGCTTATACAACTGCATACCAATTATCATTGACCTACCACTAACAGTTACCTTTAAACTGACCTAATCACCAACTAATACATGAAAACTAAGCAAAAGTTTCAAAGTCAATAGACCATCAATGAGGGGGCAGGGCCAAATAATCTCCATGGAAATGAGATATGCCAATGCTTATACAACTGCATACCAAATATCATTCACCTACCAATAGTGGTTTCCAAAACTGACCTAATCACAATTTAATACATGTAAACTAAGCAAAGTTTCAAAGTCAATAGACCTTGACTGAGGGGGCAGGGCTAAATAATCTCCAAGGTAATGAGATGTGCCAATGTTAATACAACTGCATACCAAATATCATTGACCTACCACTAGTGGTTCACCATGAACTAGACCTAATCCCAAACTAATACATTGTTGACGCCGCCGCCGTCGCCGCTGGAAACAGCATACCTATGTCTCGCTTTTTGACTCCATAAAGGCGAGACAAAAAACTGAAATATTTGACATTGGACATTTACCTATAATGGTCCAATATCCAAAATCTAAGTACATTGTCAGAATCAGCATATCAAAGAACTCCAAAAATTCAATTTTTGATGAAATCAAACAAAAGTTTAATTAAGGACCCTTTGGACCACAATGTGGACCAATTTGATAAAGGAGCTCACAATCAAAAATCTCTCAATACATGGTAGGATTCAGCATTTCAAGGAACCACATAATTTCAATTTTCGTGAATCAAACAAAGTTTAATTTTGGACCCTGATTTGGACCAACTTGAAAACTGGGCCCAAAAATCTAATACTTAAATACAGGTTTAGATTCAGCATTTGAAAGAACCCTATATATATTTAATTTAAGTTGAAATGAAACACAATTTAATATTATCCATATATTTTCTGTACAAAGGGAAATAACTCAAACTGGATAAATAGACGATTATAATCAATAAACCAGTGATTTATTCAGACGGACGACGACGCAGATATCAATGATGTCATTGTTCAAGTAATTTTTAAAATTTTAAAAGTGACACCACCAAAATTCAAACTTGATCTGTGTATTGTGGTAATAAGCATTGTGTATAAGTTTCATAATATTTGGTTGAGGCAAACTTAAGTTAGAGAACGGAAATGAAATATTTTGCAATTTTTCCATTTATAAAGGGGCATAACTCTAGAAAGCTAATTTTAAAAGTGACGCCACATACGTACAGACAGACGGACAAGGGTAAAACTAAACATTAAAATCAACTTTTTTTTTCGAGTAGTCACTGAACCATGTAATGAGGTCAAGGAATATGGATATATTACAGATAGAAACTTCATATCATAAGGCATCTATATACGAAGTACGAAGCATCCAGGTCTTTTACCTTCTGAAATATGAAGCTTTTAAGAAGTTTGTTAACGCTGCCGCTGGATCAGTATCCCTATGTCGAGCTTTCTGCAACAAAAGTTGCAGGCTCGACAGACACATTGCAATAATTTCTGAATTTACAGTAATCTGAAATATGTCACATTTACCTGTTTCCAGGAACTGTTTTTTATTTTTACGATTTAAACAATACAGCCATAAACGTTTTAAAGCAAAATTTGCTCAATCATAAATTTAACTGAAGATGAAAGTGATATTTGGGAATATCATAGAAATGTAACAGTAAAGCCATAAGTGATGTATACTCAAGGAAAAAAACAATTGATATTTATTTCATGTGGTTTTTGTTATTCGTTTTTTTACACTGAAAATATTTCGAATTTTTTACTTGCAACATGTCTCGGCTAAGACAATATTTCAATCGAAAAATAACAACTTAAGTTCAGCACTTTTTTACAGATCAATTTAGATCACATATTGAAGGAGTGTAATATTTAATGTGACGTCATTACGGCATTCATGAACCCCTTTCAGCACAAAAGGACTATAAGATCTTTTTTTCAGAGTTGTTCTTTATTTTCACTAATTTCAAGGACATTCCCTCACTTGGAACAACTGTATTTAAGTATTTAAGTAAAGTAAAGGGAACGCTTAAATAGTAACGTTAACAATTTTTTACAACTTTCTAGACTAGGGGCAATTGAGAGCTTGAATGACATGGTAAAGAAGCTTGTCCACTATTGACAACAGTAATATAGATGTCTTTTCTTGTTTTAATATTTGAGTTGTTCTCCCACTGACATACATCCAACATCCTTGTTTTTTTATCAACCAACATAATAACCATTAAATGATCCCTAATAAGATCAAAATACAAAACACACCATTTTATAACAATTTAATTGTTTTATATTATGAGAGAAACATACAACATAAGCACTATGACAATGCCAAAATTTTCATGAAAATAAATAAAACAAGTGTACTAAATATATAGTGACAATACCATATAATACAATTTATTAAATATTCCAATCGTGTATTTATACACTATCTTAAAAAATTTACTGGAAAGGTCAATTTGTGTAAAAAAATTCAAAAGAATACAAGAGAGTATCAAATAAAACTCATATTTTTTATTTTTAATTTTGAATAAAAGTAGATAACTTGTTCACTTTCATGACATTATTATAGAAAGATTTTATTCTCATGGGGAAACGTCTATTTATGATGAGAGATTTAACACACAATGAAAATGAAACTGCATTGCTGCCAAAGGTTTCCCCAAATTCATATAAATTAATACAAACAAAATTTTAACAAAATTACATAAACACAAAGATCACAAAAACCTATGATTTTAAAAAGAAAAAGTGAAATGAAATTGATTCCATGGGTGATTTCTCTAATTTTGTAGTAATGGAATATTTCTTTTTTCATAAATAGATGTAGCTGATAATCTCCTTCATGTATAGTGTTAATTAAAAACAATTTTTTTTGCGGAACCAAAATCATGTGACAGAATTATTGACTAGTGGAACCATTTCAATATACCTGTGCTTAATCCAATTTTTTTTTTTAAATAAGCAGTTTTTTTAAATGAATTTTTAGTGTGAAATGTCGATGTGTCTTATTTGTTAAACTCTGTATTTATAAAATCTTTAATTGTATTATCTTAATTTTCATTTGGATAGGTTTCTGCAATCCTAACCTGACTTTGATTATACATTTTAGGCATATGTTATTTAATGAATACTTTTGTAGAGACAAAGTTGTTTTTTCTGTTATAAGGGGGTATTAATGTAGGTTACTTAATAGTCAATACTGTTCTTTCCTTAATAAGCGAGATGATAGATTAGACTTTATAAGTCTATGCAGAAAAAAATCAGTGATAAAAAAATGTGCACTTTTAATAGAATCATGTCTATAGACTGTAGGATTTTAGAATAAAATCTATTTTAGACAGGGGTTAAAAACAGCCTCAATTTGAAGCTTTTGTCTAAAATAGGGCTAGCTGTTTAATAAGAAATCCCTGACAGGCTAGTTGGGAACAAATTGGGACTACACTAACACTCTGTGATCGGTGGCCATGTTGTAAATCTTTCAAGAAATAAAACAGGAAAAAAAGCTCAGTAATGACTTTACCATTGTTTCTTAGGCTATCTCATCAAATATGGTTTGAATTAAGTGACTATTTACAATGAGCTACTTTTTTATATTATTTTGCTAGTTCTATTATGATGGCTATCAAACAAAAAATGTTATTTATTTGTAGTTTCAATATCAATCAAATTTATAAAAAATAGTTTGGTATTTAAAAATAGATTGAAGTGTTGTTTATATAAATACAGATTTCAGATTCATAAAATAAAGATACCAAATAAAATAATCTTAGAAAATTAACACTTAAGTCTGAAATTATTTTGGCATATCTATGTGTTATATGTAGTGAAAATTTTGTTAAAATATAAAATTCAAGGCTAGACAATATAATTTTCCCAGTAGTGATATAAACCACCCATAGCCCTAAGCTAGCTGAGTTTGGTAGAAAATTTAACCCCTGTTAAAACTGATTATGAAGTAGGAAAATGATATTTGGACGATATAACCAATAGAAACAAAACCACACATCTAAAATGGAAAGGCATACAATGAATTCAAACTGGAATATTTGTTAATTAATCATTCCTCCTAACACAAAACTAAACATATACACAGCACTTCATGTGCATTTTTACATATCATTCATACACAAAAAAAACCCATAACAATATTTTAAAAACATTTAAGTACATTTATACGTTAAAAATCTTATTACACATTCATAAATAAGAAAGACTTGAGTTGAAATAAGAGGATCCTTTTGTTTTTTCTTGGTATAAACAGGCTTTGAGTAAAGATTTTCTGTTTTTGTTGATATAACCAGGCTTTGATTTTCGTCATTCAATGTCATTTTTCTCACATACCTGAGTTTTACAAATTTTCCCCTATTTTTAAAGAATATGATTCATGTAACATATAAGAAGACATCAGGGTTATTACAATTTTTCAGTTGCCTAGTTCATTTAAATGAAACATTTGTCAAGACATGCCTAGATATAAACATACATAGTCCAATCATAAAATTACAACACACAAAATAGTACTATTTATTTTAGTTGTAAAAGACCTTATCGCTGTTTGGGAGTCTGCAACAATAGACCCAAGATTTATTAACACTTGAACAACTGACATCACACAACAATCACTTTTACTTTTTGGTACAAGCTATTTTCTCTACAGACAACAACGTTTCTTCTCCTGTGATGTCCAGTAAATGAAGAAAAGAGCGATAAGGCGTTTTATACTATTGTAATCTGACCTCTTAAAAATTTGGGTAGAACATATTTTATTACCGAAAGGTTTTAAGAGCTGGTTTTAATAACTGCACCAAATCTATAAGTTTGGTTTTGACCAATGTAAAAATATCCCAAAACAAATCAATTTAACATGTATTATTAATCATACCAATGAACAACTGAAGCATACAAAATACTAATGCTCTGCATGTTTAACAATCATACACAGGAAGAAAAACACCAATAAAATAGTTCTGGAAGCTAAAGCAAACAACCTGAGGCTAATGACAGGATGATTACATTAGTCTTTGTATGATGGTTGGTCAATAATGAATGTTCACATTTTGTTGAATTATAATTAAATAACATACAACACGTCCACTAAGGTGGCATAAGCAAAGTCATATGATCCATTTATTAGTTATCTAAGATGGCCTTTGCAAAAAGAAAGCAACAGTAGCAGAACTTGCAGTCTGTGTATATTTTCACTAAAACAATTTTTAAATTCATAGCAATATTATCACCATGATCATAACAAAATACTTAAAATGTCACAAAACCTGATTTAAGACAACAATTTCTATCATTCCTTACAATCAAGACACACAGATATACTAAAATATTTCTACTAAGCTCCAAATATCTTTATAAAACAGTTAACAAGTCTGTATCATTATTTTCACTCAATCATTTTATTGAAGTAAACAGACAGTAACTCACCATTATAAAAAAAATTGCTATCAGTACATTGAAGATGATAACAATGTGAAATTCAAAAGACCACTATAAACTATCAAAGATATCATAAGTGAAAATTCAAATTCAAATGATTCAAAAATCAACCTTCTTCCATGATGGAATAATCTCATTACATCTTGGAACAGCCCAAGACAAAACCTAGCCATTTTACCGAAAATGTTCGAAAATATAGTAAGCAGATTCAGTTAAAATAGTTATTGCTGGTTATTACTGATGACATTGGCCAATTTACTCTAGAAATTGATCTCTGTATTTAATATAAATAAAAGGTTGATTAATCAGAGAAATAGCCCTGATTACAGTGATCAACTCAGCACAAGCTAAAGATTTTTTGACAGAATTATGAACAGCAGCCGAAGTAGTGGTACAGAAAGAAGATGATACTGGTCAAACATCTGGCAGACAAATATACATACAATGTATATTGCCATGATACTGGTCAAACAACTGGCAGACAAGTATACATATATTGCCATTATACTGCCATCATTCACTCAAGCTATTGGTCCACAATGTACACTTATTGAGCTTTCAGATCTGTTACATACTATCACAGCTACTTTGACACATAAGTATAGGTCCGTACAGGTGATCGAGAGGTTCCTTCTGGTGGTTCTACATTTAAAAAGTCCCAAATTAAAATTGTGTCGTCGTGTGAACTGCTCACAATTTGGAATTCATCAAACTGCAGACGGAATACTCTCCCTGAATGTTCCTGTAATGACACAGACTATTTTAATTTTCAATAAAAAGTCTACTACTATTTTGTCCAACCATACTAAAATATTTTTGTTCTTTACTTATAACAGGATATTTCTTTCTGAGATTACTTCAATGTTTTCTTATTGCTTGACTATAAGTCTGATTTTTGATAGTTGTGGCAGACTCATGCAAGGCTTAAGTGTCTTTGTCACACGTGTAAGAATTAAGCACTTTTATTAAATTTGTAAAAATAAACAGCTGTGCCATGAGCGCATGATACGCCCGTCGTGTTTTCAAACAATAAAGTTCAATAACTTCTCAATGTCATATCAGAAATTTATAAAAAAACTAAAGGGTGGTTATCTTAATAGATATAAATCAGTCGACAAAGTTTAATGAAAACTGCTGAAAGCATTTTTGAGTTATTGTCCAAAAACTGGAAAATCCCCCTTTTTTTAATGAATAAAACCCCAAAACTTGGATACGTAAAATCTAAAATTTATAAAAAACGAAAGGGAGCTCACGTCAATAGATAATAACAATTCACCAAAGTTTCATGCAAATTAGTTTAAGCGTTTTTGAGTTAATGTCCGACATGTTGACAACGGACAGACAGACGGACGGACAGACGGACAACGGTATGCCATAATACGTCGTATAAAAATAAGTGCTTTCATTTCACATGTAACAAATGAGTGCAATAATTAGAATTGATGTCAAATAAGACTTTTTGTAAAGTAAAGCAAATCAGAAACTCATTAACACAAATATTAATAACTTAACAGATCTGTCAGACATTGAATTTTCTTTAATTTGCTCCAAATATGAAGATTTAACAACTGTTGACACTGAAAACAGCACACCTATGTCTGAAACTGACATTATGTTTTTGTTTTTATAGTTAAATAAATGGGGACACAGATAATGCCCCTGCTTGCATATAATGTTATAAAGGGACATAACTCAAGAACTGTAAAAGTGACGCTACCCAAATTTGTACTTGATCTGAGTTTTGTGGTAATAAGCATTGTGTATACGTTTCATAACATTTAGTTGAGGCAAAATTAAGTTAAAGACAGAAACAAAAATCCAGCAATTTTTCCATTCGTAAAGGGGCACAACTCTCAACAGTAAAAGTGACGCCACCAAAATTCGAAATTTGATCTGGGTTTTGTGGTAATTAGCATTGTTCAAAAGTTTCATAACATTTGGTTGAGGCAAACTAATATGAGAGAACGGAAACAAAAAATTCAGCAATTTTTCCATTTATAAAGGGGCATAACTCTAGAACGGTTATAAGTGACGCCACCAAAATTCAAACTTGATCTGTGTTTTGTGGTAATAAGCATTGTGTATAAGTTTTATAAAATTTGGTTGAGGCAAACTAAAGTTAGAGAACAAAAACGAAAAATTTAGCAATATTTCCATTTGTAAAGGGGCATAACTCTAGAACGGTAAAGATGACACACTCAAAATTCAAACTTGATTTGTGTTTTAAGGTAATAAGCATTGTATATATGTTTCATAATATTTGGTTGAGGCAAACTAAAGTTAGAGAATGGAAACCAATTTTGGGACGTACGGACGTACAGACCGACAAGGGTAAAACTTAATGCCCCCTCCGCTACGGCGGGGGCATAAAAATTTGTACACAGCTTGAAAGTTTAATTGAAGAATTTTGAACAATAAACTTAATAATTTCTTAATATTCCGAGCTATGTTTATATACCAATACTTTAGAAAATTCACTTTCAGACAAACTTTATAGGCCATTATAATAAAACCGATCATATATAATTAAAATTAAGACAGGTGAATTTAAAGCCAACTTAACTTACCACAAGAGTTCTGAGACAGAGAGTTCCTGCTGGAGCTCGTGGATCCAAGGCAGCTGCAAGATCCCATACTTTGATTTTTCTATAAAAATATTATCATTTGTTTTTATAATCCATGTAATGAGTGCACATTAATTCCTCAGACTTAATATTCAAATTATAGCATATGCATTAACATTAACTAAACATTCAAAATAAGAATGGAACTTAAATCCTTTTCATGTTTCTTCTTCAGAAATTTTCACCATTATTGTGTTTGTAAATTAACTCCAAAAATAATCTTTCACATCACTAAAATTCAGAATAACAGCTGAAGAGAAAAGTTTAAAGTACTGCTTAACTGTCATTTAACTCACTTGAATGACTCTTTTAGGGGTATTTTGTTAAAATAATGAAGGTTTCAAGAGTCTTGTCAACACTTGTCCTGGAGGAAATCAACGATAGATTTGAAAAAGTTTGCAGGTGTGCCATATATAAACAGCTGTCAGTCAGGAAAATTGTTATCCACCATAAACTATTTTAATTAACAAGGAATCTCGGCACAACTTTTTTTCTTATGGTTATCATCCAATGAAGATTTACAAAAAATAATGAATACAAACCCATCATAGGCACCACTGACAATACGTTTATTATCAAATCTTATACATCTAACTAATTCTTCATGTCCTTCTAAAACACGTAGACAAGCACCACATTCAATGTCCCACAACCTGTAAACAAACAAACAGCATGAATATAACTCTACCATTAGCCTTTTAATTTCATATGTGTTACCAAATAATGATATTCTTTTCTCTTTTAATTTAAAATCTTCATTTGATTGCATAGGCAAAACAGCAATTCCTATCAACTGCATGAAAATGTATGGTTATGATTTAAATATACTTTTGTAAGAAAAAGATAAACAACTATTTTGCTAATTTAATTGTATTTTAGTATCAAAGTTGCTTTGGTTTTGACAAGTGTATATATTGATTTTGTGAAAATTAAAACTTGCCAAATAGATTTTTCATACGAATTCTTTTTATAACAATTTTTGTCCTCCTTTTGTTTTTTATTGACAATAAAGGTTCATCATAAGTGTCTTTAAAATGTTTCTTTAACATATCAACTATTTCATGAATATTGATAAATATTAAACTTCAAACTCATAACTGGATGAACCTGCCTTTAATTCCAAGGTTCACTGCCGGAGACATTGCCAACAACTTTGCATAATCGCAGTCTACAGTTCCGTGATATCTATAATGCTTTATTTTTAATTGTGCATTAGAACAGCAATCACAGTATTGTTATTTAATAATACTACTCTTGATTTTTATTCACCAATGGACAAGATAAGATATGGTATTGAATAGAAAGGTATTCAGATATAGTATTGATCAGAAAGGTATTCACCAATAGACAAGATTAGGTATGGTATTGATCAGAAAGGTATTCATCAAAGGACAAAATTAGATATGGTACTGATCAGAGAGGCATTCACCAATGGACAAGATTAGATATGGACTAGATCAGACAACAATCTCATTGATAATAAGGAAATAACTATACATCAGAGGAGCAGTATTTTAAATTGTCAATATTTTATGCCAAACTTCGGCCAATGACAAAAAAAAAAAAAAAATTTAAAATTAAACTTCAACTGGTGTTTCTTGCAGTCACTCTGAGCAAGGTGATGCACAATGGTTGGCACAACCCTTTTCTATTTTGTTTTTCAAGTGACATCATTACCAAGTCTATTAGAAAACCTAAAGGAAGCATCAACTTATCTTAAATGACCACTAAATGCCAATGGTAATTAATTTTTGTACAGAACCCCTGACAAAGCAGAATTGACATTCAAGATGGAACATACTGACTATACCTGATTGTATTGTCTGAACTGCCACTAACAACAAGTCTATCTCTGTACTGTAAACAGGCAATACCTCGTTTGTGACCATTTAATGTCCTAACAAACTCACAAGATGATGTGCTCCATACCTAATAATAACAATATTACTGTAAATACCTTGTTATATCAGTTGTAATTAAATCTAAACTGTATCTATTAAACTGACAACTACTGTATAAAACATATATTAATGCAATTGTCAATAACTGTGATGTAGGTCAAGGGCAAATAACTTTAAAGGTCAAGGATTTGAACTTAGTTGCAAGCCATTGCAGTACATGATCTATGCGGTCAATAATCCATTTTAAAATATGATGATGACTATGAAATATAATTTTTACATGTAAATAAGTGTACATATGATAAAGTCATGTAATCATCAAAAGCTCATCTTCATGTATATATGTTTGGTACAGTAGACTCCGGCAAATCGGATACCCAAAATGTCAGCTAAAAATATCCGATTACCCGATATATTCAATTAGACGATGAATGTATATTCATTGAATATTCTGCAATAATGAGTAGATATAATCCTGAGATGTTATTAACCCTGACAATTGCTAAATATGTGAAAGGGCTGGAGGATTGATGGAGTGATTTTTATCAGTTACATCACCACGATGTTTGTGTAAAAAATTATCAGCTGATTATGTAATGATTAAATTTGTTTGCAGTTTATAAATCCTTTATTTATTAAAATAAATCAAATGTCCTGAAATATTTATGTGAATTATTATCTTCCATCCATAGTTTGTCTTTATTTGTTTTGTAAGCAAATTAATATCCATTATTTACATTATCACACAGGTAAACTAATTTGGCTATAAATAGATCTAAGCATGTCTGTGTAGAATCTCCAAACTAAAATCGTATTTGTTATAATTTTATTTCTTTAAATAATCAAATTCAAATTTATGAAAATAATCATGATTGATAAAATATTATTGCATAAAGTTTACGTTTTCTGAAGACTATTTATATTTAGGTCATAGTTCTAGAGGCTTCCTCACAAATTTGTAAACATCCAAAATGGCGTCCATGACATGTGGTTACTTTTGCACATGTGAAAAAAATATATCTGACAAAAGTCAGATTTCTCTTGTCAAAAGGGATTTATATTTATATTGCAATAAATTATTCAGAAGGAGGTACATTCAGTTTAGATAATATTTCTGATTCTGTGAACATTTAGAGTTTAATCAAAATTCTCCAAACAGCAACGTCAACTTGTCAACTGAGTCTTGCATATTATATAAATAAATTCAAACCATTTGAAGTAAAAGGGCATCTAATTCACATGACAAAGGAAGACAATGATTAAAGACAACAATTTATTAAGAAATAGTTCCTTTTATTTAGTAAAAACAAAATCTTCTTGTCTGCAAGATTGTAAATTCGTAACTTCCAGTTCCATTTCCTGTCAGAAAAACATTGAAAATATCCGATTGTGCATGGTTTTGAACAAAATGACCTGAATATTCTTATCCGATTTGCCGATATATTCTTATATCCGATATTCGATTACACGATAAAATTAACATTAAACATATAGGGAAGGGTTTGGTGTTTTGAAATAATATTACAATAGCCGATATATTCGTTTAGCCGATATCCGATTAGGTGGAGTCTACTGTATTTCCGATTTTTTCTAGTAGACATAAATAATAATTTTAACAGGGAAAATCAGTTGTTTCTAAAAAAATTTCCACAATCAAAACAAACACCTGAAACACATTTTGTTACAATTTATTGGCCTATACTGTCAGACTTGCACATATTTTTTTTTAAGAATGGAGTCCTTTTAACACTGTCTGCAATACTTTATTACAATAAGTTATTATTAATGAGCTGAGAACAATGGAATGCAGATCAAGACAATGGTATTTGGGATATATGCCTTCCCCCTTACAAAAAAAAAGAGAAGACAATCACAATAAAATCTAATCTAATAATTGTCATCAAATAGCTTAATATGTCTCAAACACCACTTCTTATGTCCAATGACAAATATAACATGATTTATGATTTATATTCCTCAAAAATTGCACAATGAAGTGTCATGAAAAGATATCTTTAACCCATGATCTTAAGATAAAATACAGTATATCCTACCTTGATTGTTCTGTCCCCTGAAGCAGAGACGATATATTTTTCATCAAAATCTACAACATTAACTGCTGCCCGATGCCCTACTAACACTCTTCTCAGGTTAATTTCTGTCGGTGACTGCATGTCCCAAACTGCTATTGATCTGTCCTAAAACCAACAGATAATCTGAATGTCAGTAGATAACTTTACTCTTAAGGCCATCTTATTGCCATAGCAATTCCCTTTTTTTTAATTTCCATTAATTATTCCTAAAGTTGCAGATTATATAATGACAAAAGCTTGAATTTTCTTTTTTTTTCAAACAAAAACAGACTTAATAGAGAATTAGTATACCCCGGTTTATATCAGATGTAATATCAAGAAATATCTATTTGACTGTTACTTCTGTAAAATCATTTAAATACAACATTTGTTATCTCTTTGATACAATGAAACCCATGATTTTCTATGAACTAGATGTGTCAGTATGACATTCACTTCCTGCTGGTAGCAAACTTTCAGTTCAAGGGAGGTAACAATACAACATTTGTTATCTCTTTGATACAAGGAAACCCATGATATTCTATGTATTAGATGTGTCAGTTTGACATTCACTTCAAGCTGGTAGCAAACTTTCAGTTTAAGGGTGGTAACAATACAACATTTGTAATCTCTTTGATACAAGGAAACCCATGATATTCTATGAACTAGATGTGTCAGTATGACATTCACTTCCTGCCGGTAGCAAACTTTCAGTTCAAAGGCGGGTAACAATACAACACAGACAATTTATAGATATCCTTGCTGTCAAGACTAAAAAACATTCATCTTAAGATGACCTACTTTTGAACATGTAACCATGATGCCATCACAGAATCTTAAATGTAATACAGCTTCACAATGATGAATAAGTGTGTTTGTCATCTCTCCAGTTCTTACATCCCATACCCTGTAAAATAAACAATGTGTAAATGTAACACAGCTTCACAATGACGAATAAGTGTGTTTGTCATCTCTCCAGTTCTTACATCCCACACTCTGTAAAATAAACAATGTGTAAATGTAATACAGCTTCACAATGACGAATAAGTGTGTTTGTCATCTCTCCAGTTCTTACATCCCACACTCTGTAAAATAAACAATGTGTAAATGTAATACAGCTTCACAATGACGAATAAGTGTGTTTGTCATCTCTCCAGTTCTTACATCCCACACTCTGTAAAATAAACAATGTGTAAATGTAATACAGCTTCACAATGATGAATAAGTGTGTTTGTCATCTCTCCAGTTCTTACATCCCACACTCTGTAAAATAAACAATGTGTAAATGTAATAAGCTTCACAATGATGAATAAGTGTGTTTGTCATCTCTCCAGTTCTTACATCCCACACTCTGTAAAATAAACAATGTGTAAATGTAATACAGCTTCACAATGATGAATAAGTGTGTTTGTCATCTCTCCAGTTCTTACATCCCACACTCTGTAAAATAAACAATGTGTAAATGTAATACAGCTTCACAATGACGAATAAGTGTGTTTGTCATCTCTCCAGTTCTTACATCCCACACTCTGTAAAATAAACAATGTGTAAATGTAATACAGCTTCACAATGACGAATAAGTGTGTTTGTCATCTCTCCAGTTCTTACATCCCACACTCTGTAAAATAAACAATGTGTAAATGTAATACAGCTTCACAATGATGAATAAGTGTGTTTGTCATCTCTCCAGTTCTTACATCCCACACTCTGTAAAATAAACAATGTGTAAATGTAATACAGCTTCACAATGATGAATAAGTGTGTTTGTCATCTCTCCAGTTCTTACATCCCACACCCTGTAAAATAAACAATGTGTAAATGTAATACAGCTTCACAATGATGAATAAGTGTGTTTGTCATCTCTCCAGTTCTTACATCCCACACTCTGTAAAATAAACAATGTGTAAATGTAATACAGCTTCACAATGATGAATAAGTGTGTTTGTCATCTCTCCAGTTCTTACATCCCACACTCTGTAAAATAAACAATGTGTAAATGTAATACAGCTTCACAATGACGAATAAGTGTGTTTGTCATCTCTCCAGTTCTTACATCCCACACTCTGTAAAATAAACAATGTGTAAATGTAATACAGCTTCACAATGACGAATAAGTGTGTTTGTCATCTCTCCAGTTCTTACATCCCACACTCTGTAAAATAAACAATGTGTAAATGTAATACAGCTTCACAATGATGAATAAGTGTGTTTGTCATCTCTCCAGTTCTTACATCCCACACTCTGTAAAATAAACAATGTGTAAATGTAATACAGCTTCACAATGATGAATAAGTGTGTTTGTCATCTCTCCAGTTCTTACATCCCACACTCTGTAAAATAAACAATGTGTAAATGTAATACAGCTTCACAATGATGAATAAGTGTGTTTGTCATCTCTCCAATTCTTACATCCCACACTCTGTAAAATAAACAATGTGTAAATGTAATACAGCTTCACAATGATGAATAAGTGTGTTTGTCATCTCTCCAGTTCTTACATCCCACACTCTGTAAAATAAACAATGTGTAAATGTAATACAGCTTCACAATGACGAATAAGTGTGTTTGTCATCTCTCCAGTTCTTACATCCCACACTCTGTAAAATAAACAATGTGTAAATGTAATACAGCTTCACAATGATGAATAAGTGTGTTTGTCATGTCTCCAGTTCTTACATCCCACACTCTGTAAAATAAACAATGTGTAAATGTAATACAGCTTCACAATGATGAATAAGTGTGTTTGTCATGTCTCCAGTTCTTACATCCCACACTCTGTAAAATAAACAATGTGTAAATGTAATACAGCTTCACAATGATGAATAAGTGTGTTTGTCATCTCTCCAGTTCTTACATCCCACACTCTGTAAAATAAACAATGTGTAAATGTAATACAGCTTCACAATGACGAATAAGTGTGTTTGTCATCTCTCCAGTTCTTACATCCCACACTCTGTAAAATAAACAATGTGTAAATGTAATACAGCTTCACAATGATGAATAAGTGTGTTTGTCATCTCTCCAGTTCTTACATCCCACACTCTGTAAAATAAACAATGTGTAAATGTAATACAGCTTCACAATGACGAATAAGTGTGTTTGTCATCTCTCCAGTTCTTACATCCCACACTCTGTAAAATAAACAATGTGTAAATGTAATACAGCTTCACAATGATGAATAAGTGTGTTTGTCATGTCTCCAGTTCTTACATCCCACACTCTGTAAAATAAACAATGTGTAAATGTAATACAGCTTCACAATGATGAATAAGTGTGTTTGTCATGTCTCCAGTTCTTACATCCCACACTCTGTAAAATAAACAATGTGTAAATGTAATACAGCTTCACTATGACGAATAAGTGTGTTTGTCATCTCTCCAGTTCTTACATCCCACACCCTGTAAAATAAACAATGTGTAAATGTAATAAGGGGACGAAGTCCCCTATTACGGTAGAAAAATCAATAAAAAAAAAAAAAAAATAAAAAAATCGGGAAAATTTCCCGAAATTTTCATTGTACTAATGAACTCAAAATCATTAACTTTTTTTTTGTAACTTTTTTTAATTCCCGCATTTGCGCAGAAATCTACTTCCTTCTTCCGGTCTCGTGTGTCATGAGACTTAAAGTGAAATATATATTTATCAGTCCAGTCAAATATAGGAAGGAACACAATAACAATTTCATTTCTAATTATTCTTTGATATGAAAAAACGTTACCTGATGATAGCGTTTCTTTGTTTACATCGAATATGACGTCATAAGTAAAATAACGTCACAACTAAAATCCCTAACAACAGAACCAAAATCGGAAACGTTACGGTATTTCCGTTTCTTTTTTAACAGATTTTGAAGATAAAATATGTTTGAATTAAAAAAAATAATTCTTCGTCCCCTTTCACAGGTAACGCCTGCCTCATATTACAGCTTCACAATGACGAATAAGTGTGTTTGTCATCTCTCCAGTTCTTACATCCCACACTCTGTAAAATAAACAATGTGTAAATGTAATACAGCTTCACAATGATGAATAAGTGTGTTTGTCATCTCTCCAGTTCTTACATCCCACACTCTGTAAAATAAACAATGTGTAAATGTAATACAGCTTCACAATGATGAATAAGTGTGTTTGTCATCTCTCCAGTTCTTACATCCCACACTCTGTAAAATAAACAATGTGTAAATGTAATACAGCTTCACAATGACGAATAAGTGTGTTTGTCATCTCTCCAGTTCTTACATCCCACACTCTGTAAAATAAACAATGTGTAAATGTAATACAGCTTCACAATGACGAATAAGTGTGTTTGTCATCTCTCCAGTTCTTACATCCCACACTCTGTAAAATAAACAATGTGTAAATGTAATACAGCTTCACAATGATGAATAAGTGTGTTTGTCATCTCTCCAGTTCTTACATCCCACACTCTGTAAAATAAACAATGTGTAAATGTAATACAGCTTCACAATGATGAATAAGTGTGTTTGTCATCTCTCCAGTTCTTACATCCCACACTCTGTAAAATAAACAATGTGTAAATGTAATACAGCTTCACAATGATGAATAAGTGTGTTTGTCATCTCTCCAGTTCTTACATCCCACACTCTGTAAAATAAACAATGTGTAAATGTAATACAGCTTCACAATGACGAATAAGTGTGTTTGTCATCTCTCCAGTTCTTACATCCCACACTCTGTAAAATAAACAATGTGTAAATGTAATACAGCTTCACAATGACGAATAAGTGTGTTTGTCATCTCTCCAGTTCTTACATCCCACACTCTGTAAAATAAACAATGTGTAAATGTAATACAGCTTCACAATGATGAATAAGTGTGTTTGTCATCTCTCCAGTTCTTACATCCCACACTCTGTAAAATAAACAATGTGTAAATGTAATACAGCTTCACAATGATGAATAAGTGTGTTTGTCATCTCTCCAGTTCTTACATCCCACACTCTGTAAAATAAACAATGTGTAAATGTAATACAGCTTCACAATGATGAATAAGTGTGTTTGTCATCTCTCCAGTTCTTACATCCCACACTCTGTAAAATAAACAATGTGTAAATGTAATACAGCTTCACAATGATGAATAAGTGTGTTTGTCATCTCTCCAGTTCTTACATCCCACACTCTGTAAAATAAACAATGTGTAAATGTAATACAGCTTCACAATGACGAATAAGTGTGTTTGTCATCTCTCCAGTTCTTACATCCCACACTCTGTAAAATAAACAATGTGTAAATGTAATACAGCTTCACAATGATGAATAAGTGTGTTTGTCATGTCTCCAGTTCTTACATCCCACACTCTGTAAAATAAACAATGTGTAAATGTAATACAGCTTCACAATGATGAATAAGTGTGTTTGTCATCTCTCCAGTTCTTACATCCCACACTCTGTAAAATAAACAATGTGTAAATGTAATACAGCTTCACAATGACGAATAAGTGTGTTTGTCATCTCTCCAGTTCTTACATCCCACACCCTGTAAAATAAACAATGTGTAAATGTAATACAGCTTCACAATGACGAATAAGTGTGTTTGTCATCTCTCCAGTTCTTACATCCCACACTCTGTAAAATAAACAATGTGTAAATGTAATACAGCTTCACAATGATGAATAAGTGTGTTTGTCATCTCTCCAGTTCTTACATCCCACACTCTGTAAAATAAACAATGTGTAAATGTAATACAGCTTCACAATGACGAATAAGTGTGTTTGTCATCTCTCCAGTTCTTACATCCCACACTCTGTAAAATAAACAATGTGTAAATGTAATACAGCTTCACAATGATGAATAAGTGTGTTTGTCATGTCTCCAGTTCTTACATCCCACACTCTGTAAAATAAACAATGTGTAAATGTAATACAGCTTCACAATGATGAATAAGTGTGTTTGTCATCTCTCCAGTTCTTACATCCCACACTCTGTAAAATAAACAATGTGTAAATGTAATACAGCTTCACAATGACGAATAAGTGTGTTTGTCATCTCTCCAGTTCTTACATCCCACACCCTGTAAAATAAACAATGTGTAAATGTAATACAGCTTCACAATGACGAATAAGTGTGTTTGTCATCTCTCCAGTTCTTACATCCCACACTCTGTAAAATAAACAATGTGTAAATGTAATACAGCTTCACAATGACGAATAAGTGTGTTTGTCATCTCTCCAGTTCTTACATCCCACACTCTGTAAAATAAACAATGTGTAAATGTAATACAGCTTCACAATGATGAATAAGTGTGTTTGTCATGTCTCCAGTTCTTACATCCCACACTCTGTAAAATAAACAATGTGTAAATGTAATACAGCTTCACAATGATGAATAAGTGTGTTTGTCATCTCTCCAGTTCTTACATCCCACACTCTGTAAAATAAACAATGTGTAAATGTAATACAGCTTCACAATGACGAATAAGTGTGTTTGTCATCTCTCCAGTTCTTACATCCCACACCCTGTAAAATAAACAATGTGTAAATGTAATACAGCTTCACAATGACGAATAAGTGTGTTTGTCATCTCTCCAGTTCTTACATCCCACACTCTGTAAAATAAACAATGTGTAAATGTAATACAGCTTCACAATGATGAATAAGTGTGTTTGTCATCTCTCCAGTTCTTACATCCCACACTCTGTAAAATAAACAATGTGTAAATGTAATACAGCTTCACAATGATGAATAAGTGTGTTTGTCATCTCTCCAGTTCTTACATCCCACACTCTGTAAAATAAACAATGTGTAAATGTAATACAGCTTCACAATGACGAATAAGTGTGTTTGTCATCTCTCCAGTTCTTACATCCCACACTCTGTAAAATAAACAATGTGTAAATGTAATACAGCTTCACAATGATGAATAAGTGTGTTTGTCATCTCTCCAGTTCTTACATCCCACACTCTGTAAAATAAACAATGTGTAAATGTAATACAGCTTCACAATGACGAATAAGTGTGTTTGTCATCTCTCCAGTTCTTACATCCCACACCCTGTAAAATAAACAATGTGTAAATGTAATACAGCTTCACAATGACGAATAAGTGTGTTTGTCATGTCTCCAGTTCTTACATCCCACACTCTGTAAAATAAACAATGTGTAAATGTAATACAGCTTCACAATGATGAATAAGTGTGTTTGTCATCTCTCCAGTTCTTACATCCCACACTCTGTAAAATAAACAATGTGTAAATGTAAAAGTATACAGATTAGCAATACAAGTTTTCATCCACCTTATAAATCTTTTTTCTTTAAATTTACAAAGGTGATAATTGGGTTGATCATCTTTCTCCTCTAGAGAAGTGATATGTAAAAATAATTTTTAATTATGTAAAAAAAAAATTTTCGTCATTTATTTTTTATCTAGATAACTTGTTAAGTTTTTTTCAATTGATAAAAAATTTGTTTGTGAGGGCTTCGGAATTCCCATTTCCTGTTTCCCAGGGAAAGTAAAAAATTGTCGGGTAAACGAAAATGCAGGTACCAGTTTCCCGTCTGGTAAGTAAATCGTCTTTACGTGGTACTTTCCGATGCGTCGTATTCTTGTTTGACAAAGTAGGTTTTGAACAGTCATGGGACTTACTTAAATGAGTGATTTTTAAATCACTGATTCAAGTAATTGTGTCCACAAATGTTGGAAGTAAGAGTTGTCTTTCTATAATAATCACCCATCCCATGAATCTGGGATAATGACATGCAAATCACTTGTTTAAGTATCATACCTCTATTTTCTTCATAAAAATCACTTCTTTAAGTATTAATATTTTAATTATCCCCACTAATTTTTTATCACTAACAGTAAAATGTTATTACATAATCTGTAAGATGAAACCTTGAATTTTAAAGGAAAATTACTCCCACTGCTGGGAAAAATCTGTTAAGAAAGTATCAGTTCATTATGTAAAGCCTTCATTATAGCATTTTTTCAACAAATATAGAATTTACAGCTAAATGATTGCATCAAAGGCATAAACCTTGCTATTTAAAAGAAGAAAAAGGTTCATTTTTTTCCAATTTTACTAATAATAAGATATAATCTAAACCTATATGTTAAAAATTTTGGTAAAACTACAAAATCACAATTTGTGACAAAATTTCGAATTTGCTACTTAAATTATTTCAGTAATTCCCCTGACTGTTGAACAAAATCTAGTTTAGAAACTGGTTCCCTGAAGTAATCACTTGTTTCCTTGCGTTGACAGCGGTAGTTAGTTATTATCAGTAAACAGTAATGGAGGTCATGAAGCCATGAGTTTGCATAAATATTTTATCTCCACTGATTCATCAAAGAAACAGAAATTACTCAACTTAAACAGTAATGTAATCAAACCAGATGAAATTGATAAAAAGGACAGAGACCGTCTGTATGACCATGAAAAACAGGTTCGTCAGTTTCAGGGGAAATGGTTGGGCAAGCTTTTTTTTCAGACTTTAAAAAAAAAATAAGAACGGGAAAGTGAAAACTGATGCGGGAAAGTAAAATTGTAAGGTAACTTTCCCATGGGTAAGTGCATTTTCAAAAAATTATGAAGCCCTGATTGGTATTTTCTTTTCAACTGGTTATTTTTTGGACATAAGTTTATGAGTAACCCTTTTTTTTACCTTTTTCTTTCATTTGAAACTTACACTTTTACCAAAAAAAATGGAGAATGTGTCAATGGGACACAGATGATGCTCAAGCTTGCATATAAAAGTTATAACTAGAGAACTGTAAAAGTGACGCCACCCATAAATTGACTTGATCTGTTTTTTGTGGTAATAAGCATCGTGTATAAGTTTCATAACATTTGGTTGAGTTAAACTAAAGTTAGAGAGTGGAAACGAAAAATTCATAATTTTTTCCATTTATGAAGGGGCATAACTCCAGAATGGTAGAAGTGACACCACCCAAATTCGAACTTGATATGAGTTTTGTGGTAATAAGCATTGTGTATAAGTTTCATAACATTTGGTTGAAGCAAACTAAAGTTAGAAAATGGAAACCAATTTCGGGGCATACATACAGACAGACCAGGGTAAACCTTAATGCCACCCTCTGCTACGACAGGGGCATAAAAAAGAAATATTACATTGAAAGCACACATAGTGAAGAGGACACTAAAATACAATTATATTAACATTGCAGTTGTGATGACACTCACCTGACAGTTGAGTCACTAGAGCCTGATATTATTATATTATCATCGTACTGTAGGCACAATACAGACCCAGTGTGTCCTGTCAATACTTGCACACATTCTAACGTGTTACGATCCCATAACTGTAATATAAATATATAGATTATATTAATTCTTGATTACCTTCTACAATGTTCTTATTATACAACTGCAAAACAAAATACTATACAAAAATACTTTTGTAGATGTTGACACCATTTTAACGGAGTTGATAACTTGATACAAGAATTTATAAGCTCAAGACTATAATCTCTTCTAAGGCCTTAGACCAAGGTCATTCATTTTCTTTAAATGGCTTTTTTTTTTCTGATTTGCCCTTTAAATAACCCTGGCTATGATTTTTTTATTAATTCAACTGTGCACAGAGTGTTAGAACAATATATACACAACCGAATCCTTCTTCAGCTTTTTTTATAACATTATATACACTTTCTAATCCTTAAACTAGCGCGCTGCAACTAATGTGCAAATAAATTGACTAGTCTTGAGCAAAAGTGAGGCAGTTACTGACAGTGCAAGGTTGTAAATTTAACAATACTACGTCAGAGTTCAGAGTGTTAAAATATATCTATAGATTTTATATCAAACAAATTGTATTTGCCATTTGTTTTACAATCGATGCTATCATTAATATTGATAACTTATTTACCTTTATTGTGTTATCTCTTAATCCACTGATAATTCTGGTTTCATCATATTGTAAACAATAAACACCTTTACTTGTCTCACTCCTGCAGTGTATGCGCTTTAATGTGTGACGACCCGTCTTCCAATTTGTTTCTATTCTCTGAAAAAATGATATATACATGGTCTTAAAGATTGTTTCCATTCTAAAATGTCAGGACGAAAAAAAAACCAGATCATAGGTCTTTGTTTCAATTCACTCATACATTCCAGCTCTTCTGAGAGTCTAATAGAATACCTTTAAAGAAAAGTCTGCTACAGGGGATGAAAATTAAAAAAAAATTGTCTGTAAAATAAAATTCTAGAGATAACTTCTTAAATTTTCCCTATTTCTTCTGGATATTTCATTATTGATCAGGGACTAAACTTGGGAATTTCAAGCTGGGAGCCCAGACCAGATATTTCATAATTAGTTTCTATATGTTCAACTGAAATTTACCTGAAGTTTAGGGGCCCAGCTCAAAATCTAGGAGCCATGGGCGACTGGGCTCCCTTTAAGTTTTGTCCCTGTTGATACAATGACTTTCTTTCAAATTTTTAAAAGCTAATAAACAGTTTAAATTATATTTTCTTCTCAAATGTTTTCAACAGAAAAAATATGATAGATAAACTCCAAGGTGATATTCTAGGTCACAGACATATATCAAAACTTGACATTCATATTCCTCAGAAATTATCACATACATGGAAATAGATTAAGCTGATAAATATGTTCTTCTCTATCGGGGAAAACAAAATATTACTGTGTTTGATCTATACACTGTAGATGTTTCTCCATGTTTTACTATACTGTATTACATTAAATATACCCCACATTTCCATTATTCATATAGGATATTCCATTGAAATAATCGAAATGTCAGTGGAAATAAATAATTTACAATCATCACAACAAAACATTAAACAGATATATCATGTTAAGGAGGGGTATTTGCGAAAAATACCAGTCGAGAGAATGTTAAATTTCGCGAGCCATAAGGCAAGGGAAATTCATTCTCAAGACTGGTATTTTTCGCAAATACCCCTCAAGAACATGCTATATCTGTTTAATTACACCGAATGTTAACGTACAAAAAGCATTGATGATCGTGACATAAAACGCATTGATGATCGTGACATTACAAGCGTCCAGTCGGATAGAGTATTTTTTGGCAAATACCACGGCAGAGAGGGTAAAAAAGGCATATCCTTTTTGCATATACCCCGGCGCTGTTTAAAAATGAACGATATTAATTTGATAAAAGTAAATTGGTGAAAAATACACTGGCTATCAACCAATCAAAACCCAGGATTATTACATAAGGTGTAATTATACCAAATGTACACATGAAGAAATGTGTTACCAATAAAATACCACTATACAATATTTTTTCATTGCATAAAAAATAATTTTGAAATTTATTAGTCAATTCGAAAAAGATAACTTAAAAATTAACAAGCATTCTGAGAGTATTGCATGGCAATACATAGTCCCCTACCGGTTAAAAATTCATAGTACTGGAACAAAATGCTAACTTGATCTATAACTTGTCATGATGTAAACTTTATAACAAATATCAAGTCAATATCTTCAAGCATGACGAAAAAAAAGAGAGGAAAACTGATTATTCAAGTGAATTTTCTAAGTCCAAGGACATACCTCTGCACAAAATCATCAGACTGGAACAAAATTTGAACTTGATCTGTAACTTGTCATCATAAAACTATATATCAATTATCAAATCAATATCTTCAAGCATGACGAAAATAAGTGCAGAAAACTGATTATTTGAGTGAATTTTCGAAGTCCAAGGACCATTACTCTGTACAAAATCATCAAATTGGAACAAAATTCGAACTTGATCTGTAACTTGTAATGATAAAACAATACACCAAATATCAAATCAATATCCTCAAGCACGAAGAAAAAACATGTGGGAAACTGATTTGCTGGACTGACGGATGGACAGACAGACAGACAGACAGACAGACAGACGGACAGAGTGCAAACCTAAAGTCCCCTTCGACTTCGTCGGTAGGGGACTAATAAGCAAGGTATTGTTCATTTTCCTTTCATCACAAACCTATGTACTGAAATCATAAAAATGTCACCTTGTCAATCAATTTTTCTTGACAGATTAACAATAATTGATATGGTATACTTTAAGTTAATGATTTACATATTTGTTTGCTTACATCAATGTCTTCTATAATTTGTGGGTAGAGATTTCTGTAAAATTTATGATCTTTTAATGGTTCACCAGGTTTAGGCTTAAACAAGAACTGTATCCTACAAAAAAAAGTCGTGCGAAACATTGTACATAATATACCAACAATCATTCCAATCGGTTTCTTCATGGTCAGCAGTTGAAAACATATTCTCATGAGAAAAAAAAATGTCATTTCCTTTGAATACAGTTAATTTTGTTTTTAAAGTGCTTCTTACTTTTATTTATAAGTATATCAATAATAGTTAATATCTTATTGGCCTCTTTATCTGTCAACTAAAGTATTGTCATGTAGATCTATGTCACTTATATTCAATTTCCTTCAATTGACCTGACCATATAAATGACCAGGTCAGCTGGATGTCATATGATCATTCTTTTCTCATGTTCTCTTAGTCATGGTAGATCATTGTGCGATAGCTAAAAGCTTAAGCCTTAAAAGCAATCAGTGGCAAAAATGAAATGGAAAGCGTGGAGATTTTATCATGAATATACATGTTAAAAAATTTAGTATGCTAAAAAAGAACCCAAGATAATTGATTTCAAATATCTCCATAACTTACATGTGTAATTTTGCCATCTTGCTATTATTACACTTATTTTGGCATGATTCTGAAATAATTTTCGACTAAGGAGAGAAAAAAAACCAGGCGAAATTAAGATTTTTGTGTGTAGTAAAGATTTATTTATATCTTTTTATTCATATGCTTACCAGCCTCTTCTTTCAGCTAGACCTCTCCAGAGTGTATCTGTTCGTGCCATTCTTTCTATCAATTTTTTCCACAACATTCCTTCTGATATAACACGATGCCATTCTTTACATACAAGTTCGGCAGAACACAATGATTTGGCATCCAAGTAGGATAATATAGTCTCTGCTATATGGTCTAAACCTTTTGCTGAAAAATTACAATGTTATTATCATTATTTGACTGTTTTATGTGCAGCACATAACATGCAGTAGTTAATTCACTGCTCAACCAATGATGTTTAAATATTTTCAAAGATGTCTGTCATGGAGAACTTGACGTACAAGCTCTGTCAGACAGACATGTACCCCTTACCATCATTCAATACACCAAATAATGATAGTTGACCTGCAGTTTCAAGTAAAACTGACCTGCAAGTTATAATCCTGAAAACTTAAGATTGACCATACATCATGTACATGATCACTGAAACATGAAATAAGGTCAAGGTCAGGTGAATTTGTTTTTGTTTTAAGCAGAAATCATGCAGTTTTTTTTCCTTTAGAATAGTTGCACATTTTGTCATCCCAAGGCTTTTTTAATTTACTCTATATAGTTTGTATTTTGCTCATTGTTGAAGTCAAAAGGCTGACCTGTTACTGTTTACATGCAGGTCCTTAGGTCTCTAGTGGATAGTTTTCTCATAGGCAATCATACCAAATTTTCTTATTTTTAACTGTATACCAAGTAATGATTCCATATAACAAATACAGTTGTCCTCTTATCATCAAAATAGAAAAAAATCTAAGTTTTTTATCCATTCATTGAATCAAAAATATATATGAGACAGAAATTCAGACCAAAAAGCATCTGCATACAAGAATGGATTATTCAGCTCTTTTACATATGTATCTTCTGAATATTCAGATATATACAAATAATTCCTTCTGTTATCACTCTCTGCTTATCTTCCCTATGTCTTGCATTCTGCGTAGTAAATTTGGGGTGGTACATACAAATACTTTAATCAAATTACCAAGCTTTTGTATAAAAGCAAAAATAGATATGTCTTGGATCATTAGGGAAAACATACTCTACATTATTCTTGAACTAAAAGTTTTGGCATTTTCTGTACAATGTAACAACTGGAGAATGCAAATTTGGTGTGACTTTTTCATTTGTTTGTTGCTTTGTTTATTACCAACAAGCAAATAACATCACTGGCCAGTAGCAAAGTGACAAAATAAACTTAAATCAATGGATCCACAACTAAAATTTCCAGCCAAGTTTTTACCTGGTAATGCAGAAATAAAATCTCTTTGTAACATGGGTTTAAGAAATGCATTAATCTGTCCATGTTGGAAATGACACATTCGTGATAACAAGTGCTGAACAAAAGATACTTGTTCGTACTCTGTCCAGTGTTCAAATTGTTTAACACAAGGATCTCGATCCTTTAAATAGTCCTCAGAAACCTCAGGTTGAACTGATGTCTGTGTCTTTAATAATTGAGTCATCTCAGGCTACAAAATAAAATATATTAACTGTTGATACAGAGACATATCTAGTCTGCATGTAATTTTATTAGTAAAATGTAAATGATGAAATTAAAATGGCAATACCTTAACATGTGAACTATGTAAAATTTCCAAAAGTCAATGAACAATAATTAAGGGGACAGGGTTACATTACAATGAAACCCTCACAAGTCGAAGTTGAATGGACCCACTAAAACAGTTCAATTTGTCTGAGGTCACAAGTTCCATCTGGCATTTCCCATTTACATATTGTAACTCACTTACTCATATTGTCAACTTAGTACATGTACATGTATGTTAAGGTAGATGTTTTTTTACTCCTATACATTTGCATCCCTAGTTTATGTTGTATAAAAAATATTTCAAATGAAAACAAGATGGAAAAGAATACACAACGTGTTTACTAAAATACATTTGTAAGGAAGTACATGTATAAAATAAGGAAGTGAACTTGCATAGATCTAGAGAAACAGAAAAAGACATTTGTAAATTTTGGATTTAAACTAGCTGTCCATTATATAATTAAGGTTAAGTCTTAAATTTTATCAGATTAAGTATAATTTTACTGATTCTTTCATCTTTAATTGATTTTTCTTACCTTGGGTCTAGTTTATTTCAAGTAAAATGTGTTCAATGACCATAATTTTTTGCATGGTCAAACATCATAGACGACAACAAACAAAACTTTTGAGTAGCCATTTTGATTGTTATTAAATTGGTATAACTAAAATTAATTGAGAGAACTCTGACATTTTGATGCCCAACATGCCCAATAAAAATAATAAAATTTCAAGAGAGATGTGAAAAATATCAATGTGACATTTAAACTCATAACTTGAAAACAAACTTGACAATGCCATGGCAAAAAATGAAAAAGAGGAAAAGAAACAGTACACAAAACACAACATAGAAAACTAAAGACTGAACAACATGAACCCCACCAAAATTTTGAAAAACCTTGGATGATCTCAGGTGCTCCGGAAGGGTAAGCAGAACCTGTCCCAAATGACAGTTGTGACACGTCGTGTTGCTCTTATAAAATATATTGATTCGTTATATCAAGTGATTAGGCGTTATATCAATATGTGAATAATTGTTTCAAACTTAAAATATTTCCTTTTTCTTAGATTTTTCTTTTTTACTTTAAACTTCTGGATTAATTTATGCTCACTTTCCTTCAACGAGGGGACTTTAAAATATATCAGAGACAACTGTGATTTTGAATCAACTGAGTTCTACTCATCAGAGGTGCAAATGCATTGAACAAACTGAAATTTTAACAGGACTGACAATATTAATGTACTTCTACTTAACTGAGTGTTCAACTCAATGATGTGAGATGTCCTTATGCAAACAGGGTTCTCAATTAGATATTTTGAGACGAGTCCTGGGAAACATCACTTTTTTAAATGGCGAGCCATAGCTGATTCTGATGAGGCCATACATGTAGTACTGTTACTCAAATAGTTCCGATCTGAAGCACTTTATTTGGCTAAGTGGCATATATTAATAAATACAAACAACCAAATATTTGTACCCCGTCCATTCAAAACACATACAGTATGATATCTTCTCAATGTTGAAGGCCATACAATGAACCTTAATTGTTTACATCCTTGCCCTTAGATCATGTAGATTTTTACATGGCAAACAGTTCATACCATATCTCCTATTTACATGTAAATAATAGTAATTCAAAAAATGCCTTTTAATGCAAATATTAAAAAGTGCACTTAATTTCATCAAATTCCAAACTGTTATCACAGTGATCTGGAAAAGTGGTGGTCTGATGGTTTTGACCACCAAAATTTGGCACAGGACCGACACCTATTTGATATTTTGCAATAAAAATAATAGTGACAACCAGCAGAATTTTTACAATATCAGGACGTTCAGCATAATTATTTTAAATATATTTATCTCTACAATGCCATGAATGCAGAGATATGATTTAACAATCATTTTCTAACAACATAATAAATCATGCATTAGTTAAAATAAGTGGTCCATTAGAATTTGGTTGGCTCCATTATAGATCTAGATTTGACAGTTTCCTGAATGGATACAATGACAAAGTGAAAATTGGGTGGAGTTTTTAGTTTTCAACCATTTCTCTTTCGTTATACAAAAATACCAGCTGTATCTACTTAAAGAGTAAATTTGGTCATAAAATTTGTAAAGAGACTCCTGAAAATCGTGACTTTTTTCTTGAAACGGGTTAATTTTAGAAAAAACATGCACAAAAATGGCGTCTATAATTGCGACAATTCAGGCAGGTTTTTTTCTTATTTAGTCGACTCAATGCGTACCCGTTTGATGTCTATTCTTTCGTCGGACGAAGTACATGTCTCCATATTTGTTTCACCAGAAGACATGACTTCAGAATGTCTTGAATCACACAAAGAAAGAGAAATATTTCACTCTTTTTGAGGACTGGTTTCCATAAAGGGATAGTAATTTATGACGTCAGACCGGAAGTGTCTTTTTGCAGTTAGATAGAAGAAACAGCAGGAATATTCACATTTTTATTCATATAATTGGCCAGAAGACAAACAGTTTAATTAGATATAACTTAAATGTATACAAATATTCTGTGTGATCATTTTACTTTCATTTTGTGTGCTAATAAAAATTGCAATGCAATCATTACTAAGTAACAAAGAGTTATACCCCTTTTATCATTTATTTTATTTGCTGGGTTTGGGGGATGTGTAATAAGACATAAAACAACTTAGCGACGAAAAAAGGACACGTAGAGGTCAACACCTGGTCTTTAAAAATGGACTGGTGTCTAGTTATAACATGTATGCCAATGATAAAAGTGTCTAGCTGTACTATGTATGCCAATGATAAAATGGAATAAAAAAAAAAGTAAATGCGCCCAGCAGTGTGTGCTCATTTTTAAAAAGATGTAGTACTACATGATCTGATCATTTAGAGTCTTATTGGTAATTCATTCTTATTGTAGTAAACACAGTATTACAGGATCTGCAACTTTGTATACACTGATTAATATGTGACAAAGGACGAACACTGACGAATCCGTTCCTACTGTTTGCGACATTGCTATCATGAGAAGAAGAAGCTTTATGAAATCTACTCTGTACAGCTGTTCAGCTGTCGATATTCGAGCCACGATAGAATGCATGATTCCCTCATGTCATCAGTTTAACTGAATACTTTGAATTCAGTATTTGTGTGCATTCTTTGAAAACATTGACAGCATTAACTTATTCAATTTGATCAATATGTTATCATTATAACTACTCAGTGTTGTTGTTCAATTCGTTTCTTTATTATATCTCCTATAAAGTACATTAACCGATATTTGAGTGTATAGGACAGCACTATTTCATATCAGTAGACCGTGTGCACCTTGAGCTTGCATTCAGCCCGGTAACTGTAAGCTTTCTTTACTATTTATTTATGCTACGGTATCCGGCGTTTATTGTTGTGAAGACCATGCCTGAAACATTTACCGCTGGACGTTAAGCATTCAACAATCAATCATTAATGTGAAGGATTTTTATAGTATATTTACTATTCAAACCGGCTTGCAATTGTTTTGCCGATACTTATGTTATGTTTTGCTACTATCTATTATACCGTTATCATTTAAGAGTTTGGTTCTTCTTCTGTATATATACTTACTTTAATGGTATTTTCTTTATGCACTTTTTTAAACAACTGAACGAGATTAACAGGGGATCGAGGTGAGGTATAAAAAAACACTAGTTTAATTTACCCCACCGTATGTTCATAGTCCTATCCCAAGTAAGAACCTCGTCAGTGGTTGTCTTTTGTCATATATTAAGGGAAAAAGGGGGGGGGGGATTTGGAGAATTTTGTTTTGATGACAGATCTTTGATAGTCTCTAGAAAAAAAAGAAGTGGTGATTGCCAATGAGACAACAATTTCAATAAAGTCCAAATGAAGCGGTTTTAAGTACAGTTTATTCACATTCGTTTTATACTCGATACGATTTCGAGCTCGTCATATTGCATAAACACCTGTTTTCCGTTGTAGACCGTAGTTGACCTGGACGATATCCATTTGCGCCAAGAAAAACAAATCATTTGTACTAATGCTATAGGTCTGTGCGCTTTTTTTAAACTATACGCTTCATTTGCGTTTATAAAACAATCTTACAACTGCGCCATTTCTATAAATGTATTTTACTTTGTCTTTCAAGATATTTACTTAAACGGTTGACTTCCCTCCTCCTTTGTCCGGGTTTGGGACCGATGGTTTACATTGGCGGAGTTAGTGATTTCAAAGAAAAAGATACACTCGAAACTTTGAACTATGTTCACTCTATATATAAACATTTTGTACATAAATCAAGCCGTTAGTTTTCTCGTTTGAATTGTTTTATATTTGTCATTTCGGGGCCTTTTATAGCTGTCTATGCGGTATGGGTTTTACTCATTGTTGAAGGCCGAACGGTGACCTAGAGTTTTTAATTTCTGTGTCATTTGGTCTCTTGTGGTGAGTAGTCTCACTGGCAATCATACCACATCTTCTTATTTTTATATTTTAAATATAATATGTCTCTATAATTTTAAACCAAAGGCTGATGTTTATATTTGAAGTTTACATGAATAAAGAGAGATGAGTGGATCAAATTTGTCTTTTTTTAGATCTCAACCCCAGGGGCTCTCCCTTTTTTCTCATTCTCCTCTTACTAGTTTTTGATACTTCTCAGAGCAAACTAACTACATACATCCGTTCTTCGAATTCTAGATGAATCAGTGGCGTGGCAAGGTTCTGTGTGCAACGCACACATGAACGGTTGGCAGGGGGTCTTTGGTCGCCCAAGGCAGAGCCCTTGTAGGATCTTTTAGGATCTTGTAGGGGGACCTTTCGCTCCTTAGAAGCCTGGAGAATTAGCAAATTCAAAGAACAACAGCTCCTCTGATATTTCTCGTTTTCTTAAGAAAGGTCTACATAGTTATGCCTCAATAACCCGACAAGAATATTGGGTTGACTCATTGACGACATTTTTTTATAAAGCATTATAATGTCAAGCCGGTTATTTGCCTTTTAAGTATACTATAGTACTAGACGGAGACAACTCTACCTTCAGAGAGTGATGCAAACAGTAATGTTTTTTTTATTATGCATGTACATGTAGGTTGTAACATGATATTATGAACTTTAACAAAACAATGCAATTATTCAATATAAGAATGAGATAAGATAAGATATTTTATCAGTAGAAAATCCAAACAATCGGATTGCTACTATACAATAATATAAATACAAAAATAAGATGAACATTTTCCAAAAGACCAAATGAGTGAAAAAGTATCTTTTAACAAAACGCATTTGACTAGCAGGTCGAACAACTGATGTTCTTAAACCCTGCTGACTGCCATTGGCGATTGCCAAATAAACGGATCACAAGATGTAACAAAACAGATCTTATTAAATTATTACCAAACAGAAAACAATAAACTTGCGGAAAAGATGGTATACCGCAAACATGAGGTGCAAAAATTTGTACACCATATCCGGATTTCGACAATTAATGTCTCTTCAGTGATGTTAGGAATCGAAAAGGTATTTGGAAGGCCATATAATTTACCTCAATTTAGGATAGACTCTTGAATTTTGAAAGAGTCAAAATAGGATGAACGGATCATATAAACCCGAAGGCAAATATAATACAAGCCCAAACGAAAAAATATAAACAAGTTTAAATTGAAAACAACGTTCAAACCTATGATTGCGTTGGATAAAAACCGCAATTTTTATACGTGTGCATGCAAACCAAATTTCTTAGTTCAAGAATTCAAGAGTCTATCCTAAATTACAAATACCTTTTCGATTCCTAACATCACTGAAGAGACATTAATTGTCGAAATCCGGATATGGTGTACTAATGTTTGCACCTTTTGTTTGCGGTATACCATCTTTTCCGCAAGTTTATTGTTTTCTGTTTGGTATTAAATTAATAGTTTAGATCCATTTTGTTACATCTTGTGATACGTTTATTTGGCAATCGCCAATGGCAGTCAGCAGGGTTTAGGAACATCCGTTGTTCGACATGCTAGTCAAATGCGTTTTGTTGAAATATACTTTTTCACTCTTTTGGTCTTTTGGAAAATGTTGTTTGTGCTGTATTTACCCCTCTACCAAGAAATTTATTTTGCATGCACACGTATAAAAATTGCGGTTTTTATCCAACACAATCATAGGTTTGAACGTAGTTTTCAATTTAGACTTGTTTATATTTTTTCGTTTGGGCTTGAATTATATTTGCCTTCGGGTTTATATGATCCGTTCATCCTATTACGACTCTTCAAAATTCAAGAGTCTATCCTAAATTGAGGTAAATTATATGGCCTTCCAAATACCTTTTCGATTCCTAACATCACTGAAGAGACATTAATTGTCGAAATCCGGATATGGTGTACTAATTTTTGCACCTTTTGTTTGCGGTATACCATCTTTTCCGCAAGTTTATTGTTTTCTGTTTGGTATTAAATTAATAGTTAAGATCCATTTTGTTACATCTGGTGATCCGTTTATTTGGCAATCGCCAATGGCAGTCAGCAGGGTTTAAGAACATCCGTTGTGCGACCTGCTAGTCAAATGCGTTTTGTTGAAATATACTTTTTCACTCTTTTGGTCTTTCGGGAAATGTTGTTTGTGCTGTATTTAGACCCCTCTACCAAGAAATTTATTTTGCATGCACACGTATAAAAATTGCGGTTTTTATCCAATGCAATTATAGGTTTGAACGTTGTTTTCAATTTAGACTTGTTTTTATATATATATATATATCCGGGTGCGGGATTTTCTCGCTGTGTTGAAGACCCATTGATGGCTTTGAGCTGTTTTCTGCTCTTTGGTCGAGTTGTTGTCTCTTTGACACATTCTCCGTTTCCATTCTCAATTTTAGTTAAAAAAAAAAGATACGTTTCATCAGATTTTATTAATTTTCGAAAACTTCTTGCATAATTAAATTATCTTGTGTCTGAACATTTAAAAGTCACCGTACAGCCTTCAACAATGAGCAAAACCCATACCGCACAGCAAGCTATAAAAAGCACCGAAATGACAAATGTAAAAACATTCATGTTTGATTGACATACCAATATATGAGAATAAAAGTGCTGGGTATAATCAAGCGATAAAGCAACCTATCGACATAAATTAAAAAGTGAGACAGAAATATTTGTTGAACGAACATTTGGACGATGGACAAAGTGAATGCAATATACCCCCTAGCATATAATATTATATTTACATGGTGATTGAAACTTTCTCCATGTTCGACGTTCGTTTCAAACATACATGTAAATCAATCATTCATTGTTCTACTCTGACAGAAACAAACATGTCAGCTTCAGTGATTGCACTGTTCTATTCTGCTTTCCGCTGTGAACCTCGCATTGGGTTAAGATTAGATTGTTTCATAGCGTTAATAAGTAGTTTTTCTTAAATTAAGTAAAGTAATTATTGTACAAATGACCA